CAAATCTAAAATAATGGATGAAATCTGTTGTTTGCATTTCACTAGAAACCATTTTTCTATTTCATGTCGTTTTTTATTCAACAAAAAAAAAAAAAACATTTGAGAAAAAAGAAAACTCATTCCTATAAAAGAATTTAATCTCCTTGAAGTGTTTTGTTAAATCTTCAAATAAAATTATTAGAACAGAATTATTTTTTTTTACCATACTAAGCTTGTGTATAATTAAACATAAACCAACTACCATTTTACAGATAATCTAATTACAAAATTGGAAAACTAATTGTAACAGAAATTAATGAAGATTTATAAAAAAAAACTTTTAAATTGATTTTGAATAAAATGAAATCTCTAAAAAAGTAATAGTTTTTCTTTAAAACAAAATATTTGTTTATATATGTACATATTAAAAACAGAAAATTATGTTCCAGCCTATGTAAAAACAACACAACAGACTGCCATCCATCTCCACTGGAGGTTGGAGCAATTCAAAAACCTTTCAAAAGTATCATTTCCAATGATGGCTCCCTTAGAAAAAAAGATCAACACCAGGATTTTAAGGCAAGTGAAGCCCTACATATACTGCAAGTGAATGCTGAATCATTCACAACATCCAAGAATCCACCAAGCTGAAGCAACAGACATGCTGAGAATTCTCATTGCCTTCTTTATGGATGTGAGACCTAGACCCTTTTAGAGGTCACATCAAACTGTTGGAGCATTTTCATAAAGATATGCTTTAAATTTGAAATAGATCAAAATGAGCAAAGATAGGATTAAAAAATACTTATTCATATTCAAAAAAGAATGCATCAAGGATAACATCATCCACACTGAACCAACCCCATTCAAGCAGGATGGAATAATTTATACAAAAATTAGATAACTGAATGGTAAAATAGAAAACAAACAGGAAATGCAAAGCAATAAAGTTGATTTGAGGAAAACTGAAAATTCTAAGAATTTTATTTAAAATTATTAAATATTTACTCAAACCTCCAGGCCAGTTTCCCTGTCCCCATTGCAATGTCTTTCCTTTTCCTGCATTGGACTCTACATTTCATTAACTGTTCATCCCTGTTGATAGATGTCATTGTTGAAAATTTCGTTACAAACTATTTTTGCGTCGGACTTTCTATTTTTGAATACTTTCATTATGTGTATATTTTTTCGTTTTTTTTTTTCTTTATTGATTAAATAAAATTAAAAATATCAAAAAATTCTGTTATCAGCATATTGATTTAATTCATTTTTTTTTTTAACCAATGTCCCTTGGATTGATATTCTTAACACCCTGTTGAGAATTGTGCCAGGAGGTTTCTTCTTGGGTTATTCAGGTAAGCATTGAAAAAACAAAAAAAACAAGCAAACAAATATTAGATGAAACTACAATCTTCTTTGGTTCACAATACAGACTTGAATGGTATCCCTGCAATAGTTCTTAAGAAATTTCTCCTGAACTTTCTCCTTTTCTCTTTAAACTCTGCAATAAATGCCTTGGTGTTTCTTTGAGATTCTTCTTGAAATCCAGTTTTTTATGCAAAGATAATGCCACCAGTTTTAGAATTCAGGCAAACCATCTGATCCTTCTTATTATCAAACTAATTGCCTTTTTACTATTTTTGTAAAAGTACTTGAGGTTCTAATCAACTCTAAAATAGTTAAGCATCTCACCTTGCAGGGTCTTCTTTCAGACAAGTTCAATATGGCTTTTGCTTTTGAAGGTCAAAAATGTTGATATGTTAATAATTATTGCTGAATTAAGTCTATCAAGAGTTTAAGAATGGTGAAGCTTGGGTTGTTGCTTTCAAATATCTCAAAGGGAACTTGACAGAGTTTGGCATACTGATCTTCTTCACAAGTTGAAAGGTTATGACCAAATTCCTTTACAGGCAAATTTTAAACTGATTCATTCCTTCTTATCAAATTGAAACATGAAAATTATTTTGAATTTACATTGCTAGATCTTTTTTGTATAAATGCAAAGTGTTCCCCAGAATTCTTGGATCTATGTTGTTTCTAATTTTTTATGAATTTCCTAATGAGATATCAGCTCTCAACTTGACATCCATGGTAATGGCACAACTATTTATTCCAAGAGAGTAAAGCCCATCAGTTCGAAAAAAGTTAAATTACGAAATCTCAAAATGGCCTAAAAATCTGTTGTTAAATGTTGGCATAAATATTTATAAAAAGACCATTCATCCTTGCTTTGAATATTGCTGCCAGTGTATTGATCTGGTCTATTTTCATCTCATATATTTAGAGAAAATTGATGAAATCCAAAGAATCTGCCGAAAACTATTGGTCCTGACCTGGCATCTCAGTATCAGTCATTTTTCATCGCCATAATGTAACTTCCTGTGTCTTTTTTATAAATACATTCAAAAGGTAATTATTCTGCTATGGTATTTAACCCATATGACGGGTACTGAATTTAAAAGATGACACGTACTATTTACAGTTGAAATGGCTAGATGCAACCATAATTAACAGTTTCTTCTATCACACTTCTTTTTGTGGAACTCTTCTGGTTTCTTGCTTTCCAGTCAACTTTGATCTTCAAAATTTAAATGCAATGTCAAGTGTTATCTTCTTAATTCTTATTCTTATATTGTCCTCTCTCAATAATATTAGTTCTTCTCAGTGAATGTTCAACATTCATTAACCCCCTTATGTCCTAGTGGCTTAAAAAAAAAAAAAAAAAAAAAAAAAAAGCGCCCATTTCAATGTTATATGCAGATTTTAAATTTTTTTCAAATTTGAACCGTCATCCGCGTGAAAAAAAAATCAATGCCTAGTTTTTTTTTTTGTTTAGATAGTTGAAGTTTGATTAAGCAAAATAAACTAAGAATTAAAAAGTATGAATCCATTTATTTCAGTTTTTAAAAATTAAATTTTATTGGAAATTAATTCTCCCTCTGATCTTTTGTTAATAAACCAGGCTGTCGAAAAAACAAAATAATTTAAAAACCTCATTTCCTAATCTTTTACATTGTTAGAATGTTTCTGATGAACAGAGTTTCTTCATAATAAATATTTTAATTTAAGACTCCTTACTTGTTAGAATTGAAATAAATGATTTTTAAGACTGATAAATTGTGAATTCAAAGTCTGTCTGTGTTTTTTTTAAAATAAATAAAACAGAGGGTGTATAAAAAAAAAAGTCTATCTTTAAGAATATCATAAAAAAGTTTTTAAAGTTTTTCCAATTTAGAAAAAAAAAAAAAAAAAAAAGTAACTCTTTGTTTTTTTTTTTTTTTCTACATATCCTGTCTTTATTTAAAAAAAATTCTCAAAAAACAAATTGTAAATCATAATTTATCAGTTAGGAGTTATAAAACCATGTTAACAGAAAGACTGAGAAAAAAGTCTGTCTCATATGGGCATTAGATTCTGAGAAATGGATTTAGATATTAAAAAAAAAAAAAACTGATTAGTCTACAAATAATTCTGTTGTTGACTATATATATATATAAAAAATAATTGCTCATTTAGGGAGTAATCCTTCATTTATGCATGTTTCATTAAAAAAAAAACAGACAAGGTACTATGATTAAGCTTTTTATTTAATTTTTTTTTTTTTTTCAAGTAAGTGTTTTCTAAGTTTGTTTGTTTTGGTATACTTTTTAACATTATCAAGGATGATTTTATTTTTTTGGCTTTATTGAGTAACTTCTCATTGTGTGTATGTTTTTTAATGTTATAGAAATGTTTTATTTTTTCCGAACACAGCACATAAAAAAAGTAATAACCTTATAATCTTTAACTTTAGATTAAAAATAACACTAAACAAAAATTTGTTAGCTAAACCACTGACCAAATCATCTCTTACAAATGTCTAATGGCTAAATTTTGTTTTAACTCCCCATGTCAGTAAACAACAAGAAAGTCTGCATTAACATGTTAAGTATGTTTAATTTTATATATATTACTAATAAATTTTTTTTACAATATTAAATATAATATTTAATTTGAAAATAATTTTTAAAAGTAAAATTTAATATTTCAAATTTATTCTTAATTAAATTTTTGAAAATGATATATATATATATATATATATATATATATATATATAAATAAAAAATATTTCTGTTGATAAAGTTTTTTTTTATTTTGTGATTTTATAGAAAGAATTTATGCTGCCCTTGTCAAAATTCAGTTGTAAGTTAGAAAACTTACAATATTCATAATAAACACTGCTATCATCTACTATTTCACATCAGAAATTAATTGAATAATGCCAAAAAAAAATATAAAGAAACTTATCTAAATATGTCAAAATAATCTATTTTCTTCAAACTGTACTAAATTATTTAAACAAGTAAAAAATAAGTTTGCTGAAATATTAATAATCAATAACAAATATCAGAAAATTATTCAAATGTTTCTCTCATGATCAACTCTATGTAGCTAAGCTCAAAGTAAGAAATTTACGTGAACTTAGGATAATAGAGGTGAAAAAAAATTAGAAAAGATGTTTTACTGAAAATGTTCTTTATATAGAAAGCTTAGCGAGGTAAGAGAACTTCTATGACAACTTTGGTATTTGTAGGTGGGATATTAAACTAGTTAAAACTGTATTTACACATTACATAAAAATGAATATTTAGGCAATATAACAAAATATATACATAAAATGTGCCAAATGTAAAGAAAATGTAATTTATTGAACACAGCTATGCAGTAAAAAGAACTGGTTTTTCTCATTAGACAATGTTACAAATAGTGAGTTTACTTTCTTTTAAAGTTCCAATCAGAGGTTATAATAATAATAATAATACCCCCCCCCCAAAAAACCCCCAGAGAAGCTGGGTTTGGTAAAAATTGATAGGTATAATCAAATAACTTATTAAATTTTTATGACCATCAGTAACATTGTATCCATGATATGCCCACCTAATGCATGAAATTATAGGTGCATTACAATTTTAAACTATTAAAATAATAATAAAGTATATTTTGCAGGATTAAATGCAGAGTAGCACCTTTAGAATCTTTACTCAGGTCCTTGGTTTCTTCTTTCTTTTTTTCAGTGTCATCATTTTGAAATCGATTCCGAAATGATGATGTCCTATGGAAGCCAACAGAGCTGGAATTCCCTGTATTACTAATATCAGATACATTTAGAATGTTTCTTTGGTTACGTTGACTATGTGCTGTAAAGAAACAAAAAACAACAACATGGACATCAGAAAATCTTTCTTCTGAATAACAGAACAAACCCCAAAACAGATGATTCTGAAGCATTCAGTATTCTGTTAACATTAACAAAAATGTTAAAACAACCAAAATAACAAACTGCATAAAGAAAGGGAAAACTTTCAATAAGATTTAGGTTAGAGATTATAACTTGTTAGCATGATAGGTACTATAATGAAATTAGAAATTAGAAAAAACTTGACTTCAATTTTATCTAATTTACATATGGTTGAAAAAACAATGAAGATAATTATTGATAGATTCTAAAAAATTACTAAATATTTGGTATGAATATGTTAAGAAAAAAAAATTTAAGAGAGGTAACAAAATTAAATGTTTTAAGCATGGTTAACAATGGCTCAAATAGTTACTTAATTCCTTGGAGTAAACAATATTTCAAATTATTCTTTGCTGGGTTCTACAGATATTAATCTTCCAATTTTCCTTTCAATATTTTATTTCCCATTAATTGGAAGTTTTCTTAAATATGTCAAGGCTACTTTCTGTATCTAGATTGCTTATTAACATACCATAATTTGCTTATATTTGATTTTCATCTGTACTGTTTAAATGTCAAATGTGGTGCAAGTTTTATAAACAAAGCAGCAGAAAACACTTATTAAATTTCATGAAAGTATATTTTACTCAATAGATGATTAAGATCTGTTATACACTTTTTCAGGAAAAAAAATAACTGACAAGATTGAATGCATGTATTCTTGTTGTAGAAAGGTAAATAGCAAGATTATTATTATTATTTTTTTTTTACTAATTTAGATTCAGTTTCATTATTAGGCATTTTTATTATTGACTTAAACTTGAGGCAAAAGTTACGAAATAAAATATGTAAAATTTGATTTAAATGGAATGCTTTTTACTTCAAACTATGTACATTAAAAAATGTTGGTATATAAAATGAAATAATTAATACACCACAATAGTTTGATATATGACTATTCAAAGATATAATGTTTTGATTCATTTTATCTAAACTACTTAGCCAAAATAAGTCTTTTAAATTTTTGTTTTCTACAATGTAAGAAGTTAGTATCTGATATATAATTTTGGATGTAATTGTAAGATTATATTCATGAAAATTTAATTAAAACACTAAAATATTTTAAAATTTAAGCCACTACAAACAATAATTAATCATTTTTTTTAATATTTGAGTTTAAAAATATTTTTTTTAACTTTTTACATGTGTGGAGAAAGTTAACATGAGTTAGAAACAGTACATTAATTGGATATGTATCATATGTTCATACATATTTATACAAGTCTTGGCTCATAGCCCATCTGAATATTTTACAAACATTAGTAGCTTAAAACTAATTTTATTGTGAAAACATTAACTTACATAAGATCTGACAGTGTATATTAGCATTATTTATTAATCAGATCTTTTTCTAGTCCTTACAACTCTTACAAAGGCTCAAGAAAATTTTAATGTTTTGCATAATTTTTAGCAGAGACTTTTTTTTCTCAATTGTTTTTACACTGAACTTTATTTAACATTGCCATTGTTGCATAAAGGTAATTTAATATTTTTTTATTGTTATTATTGGTAAATAAAGTGTATAAAATATTAACCCTAATGCTGCTTTTAAATTATGCATATTTATAAGAATTACTTCTCAATTGTAAAAAATTATATTTATGATAAAATAAATCAGCATAACAATTGTTATTTTATTTACTATATTGTTTAGGAATGAAATAAGTTATTTTCATATCTATTTTGTTTCATGTTTGTGCCAGAATTTCATTTATTTAACTTTTAACACACATGATTATCATTACAAGTATTCTCAAAGAATTAACTTTTCTCCCCAAATTTTCAGAATTCAAACTTTTGTAAATAGGCCTCCAGTTCTTGCTTTTAGTTGCCTGTATTATAGAATGCTATAATCATATGCACAATATTTATCTCAAATTCCAGGAAATTAATCAGCTTAGTGTGTAAATCATTTTGTAAACTTTCATATTTGTAACAAAGACCCATTTTTCTAGATTTCATATGTAATAAAAAATATTTTTGGTAAGTAAGGAGAAAGGTAAAGCAAAAACAAGGTAGGTTCAAATTTAACAAAATAGAACCATGCATATTACAAAAATATTTGATCACACAAAACTTTTTCAATACTGGAGTAATCATGAAATTAATCTTTATATATATATATATATATATATATATATATATATATATGCAGAAAATTTTTACCTGTTTGCACATTTTTATTCAGTGAGTCAAACATCATATATTAAAAAAGGTATTTCTTGATATTCATGACAGACATTTGAATATTTTAAGAATTTATTAAATTCATTTTTAATAATGAAATTTTTAAGAAACAAAGTAGGTCAACAAAGTAACCAGCTAGAGTAATGGATGATATTAAAGCCTCTCATTTAATACAAAGCAAGTAAGCTACAATTTAATATATATTATCACTAGGTAATTTAAGCATTCAAAACTATATGGAATAAATTTACAATATTTCTGTAAGGTAGAATACTAGCAGAAAAAGAATCAACAATTTAGGATAACTGGTCACATTCTGATTTCTGCATGAAAGATTGATAATCAAGAAATTGGATGCACTTAAAAAAAACCTTTTATATTGATTTCCTTGACATGCATCCTGGAACAGTTTGTTAAAATATCAAAGTTATTTTGTCTAAGATAATTTTCGAGCACAGTGATATATATCGATCATCTAGCACCATATTTCTTTATAAATAAGTGGTCATAAATTGCTACGATGTAGTAACAGGTAGTAACCCCAATATGTGCTAAGATGAACAAGTCCCAATTATAGATTATCTTTGGCTCACTTATTCACTCACATCCATCATATAAAAGGAGTTTCCAGTGTTGAAATGTTTTAATAAATGCTGGATAAAAAAAGGAAAAAATTTAGTAAACATATTCTCACTAACATTGGTTATATTTCACTAATTTAACAAAAGTAGTGAATGCCATGAATTTGAGCTGATATATTAAAAGAGTAAGTCATAAAATTAAATTAGTAAATATTTAAAAAATTTACAAACTAGCTATTCTCTTAAATTAAAAACATAGCAAAATGTTTTTTTTTATCACTGCATTATTGTTGGTACCTTCCTTAGATGTGTAATTTGCATTTAGTAAGAGATTCTTAAACATCATCAATATTTTTTAGAGTTAAACTTAATCAATCGAGCAAATAGAGTAATACAATCTTTTTCAATACACTAGAGAAAGGTATCAGCCCTGGTTTAGCTTATGTAACCTTTGTTCAGACACATTGCTTCCTAAGATTCTCTCTTGATTACATGAATCTTAACCCTAAAAAGGGAAATACGTTTGTTTTTTTTCCAAAAATGTTGAGCCATGTTCAGGTTATGACTTTCCTATGTTCTAATTTTTAGTGATTAGAAGCTTTTTTTCTTCTATTCTCTTCTACAACTGCAATCTAACTTTTGTGAAGACATTGCATAGAATATTTTAGCAGCAGATGCTCTATTAACAAATCCTTTGAATTTTTTTTAACTATCCCTTTTTATGCAGAGTGAGCTTAATGTATATTATACATATATATTTATTTTGGTATTCTTAAATTATCTTCCTTTTCATAGATCCTGATGTTATTTGGAATGGATAATAAAGATGTCATATATACTGTCCAATTCATTATTGCCTATAACTCATTTTTAATTTCTTATTTTTTTTAATTCCTAACATTTTTTTTTAAAAACAAAGAAAAATTGTTTTGACTTATTTAGAGTAGGAACCTATTCCTACCAGATGAATTACATTCTTGAGAAATTATGATAAAACCAAAAAGTATGAGAAAATTAATCTGAACAACTTGTTAATATTATATGATGTTAAAATATTTTTCACCATAACTTTATGACTGCTTCTGTAAGTTACTTATTAATTCATATCATTCATACTTTAATAAAAAATAACTAAAGTAAAAACCAAAGATTAAGAAAAAATAAATAGAAAGGCAGAAGTAGAAATATTATAGAAACTTACGGAGAGCATCAAAAGAATATATGTTAGGAGTGCTGCTGGTTGACAAATCCTGATCTCTAGATCTTCGATAAGTTGCTTGAGTGTTGCTCTGTTCAATGCAAAATGTGAACACATTAAAGTTTTGTATGCTATATGAGAAATCTCAAATTCTATATTCGATATGTTTGTCAATATTTTTATTAACATGCTCTATTTATTTGTAGCTAGCAGTTATGTGTGTGTGTGTGGCTATAGACTGACACAGGTATTAATGGAATTTTAATCTGAAATTTTTACTGTATAATATTTGATGCATAGTTAAGTGTATTAACAAAGGAGATTATGCTGAAAAATAAATTTGCATAAAATAAAGTATTTTTATCATTAGGTTATGAAGTATCTGTTGAGGGGCTGCTGAAAAGTTCTTGGCCCAGCCTATTTCCCAAAATCTGAACAAATGACCAAAAATACCACAATTTCTGGAAGGGCTTCTTGGTCAAGCTAAGAACTATTAAGCATCTCCTATATTATAACAAACACAAGTTTAACTAAAATAAGGTCCCTTTTGACAATTACAATAATTACAAGGCAATCAGGTACATTGTGTAACTGATTTGAAGATAAATCATGGGTTGCATCATATAATTATCAGGAAAAAAAATAATCAGAATTTATCTAAGAGATTTAAACAATTTGAAATGAGTGATTGATCAGTAGTGGTAATATAAAAAGCCATTTTCTTTTTACCTGGGTTCGTTCTTCCCAGGGCCGCCGAGTTCGCAGAATAACATCTTCTGATTTTGAAGAATCTTGAGAGGCATCCTTGATATTGTTTTCAGTCGATGATAATCTCTCTTTAGCTGAATCATTCTTATCAGACTTGTCTTTAGACTCTTTCTCTTCAGCTTCTCTAGTTAATTTTAACACTTTCTCAGCCATTGCAATCTCTTCCAATGTAACACCCTGGAAAAACAAGCATACAAGAAACATTCATGTTTTAAAACTTTACTTAAGTAAATTTCAAATCATACCAAAATAGTTTCACTTTATTTTTACTTTTGAGCACTCTTCCATCTTACCAAAATGCATGTTATTAATAATCTTGTTTGGGTTTATTATTATTATTATTAACAATGCATGTTATTAATAATCTTGTTTGGGTTTATTATTAACTTGCAGTATAACCCGTCTTTGACTGGGTCATTCATTACTGGGAATTCTTACCATTCAATTGGATCAGTTTAAGTTTAAACAACAATTGGGTGCAACTGAAGCACATCCCCAAATTGGGGGGAGGGGGGAGAGAGATAGGGCCGTTTTTGCATTCTCAGTCTTGTTTTAGCCTCATGCACAGCAGGAGTTGAAGAGGCATTTCTCCTCAGCCATTGAGTCCTTTGATCATCATTGTCAGTCTTGTGCACAAAAGCGTTCAGGTATGCTCTTCTGGAAAGCTGATGACTATGTTGATCTTCGGACTCAGTGGCCCTGATTGAAACATTTCGAGAGGCATTTTGAGACAAGCAAACTGAATGTTCTGAAGACGATTTGCTATCTCTTATTCGCATGGTGGGTCTGGCAGCAACGGTTTTGCAACCTAGGCAAGTTCTTTTCTTTGGTGGCATGTCTTAGGAAAGTATGAATTGTCAAATGGAATGCGTGGGCAAATACCAGAAGAGAATGCTGTAAAGCTAAACCTGAATAACTTTAGGAAGGATTGGAAAAATAAATGTTGAGTAATAAAAAAAGCAAGCTTACTTATTACTACGGTGAATGCAATGCAAAAACTAGCAGGACAATAAAAAAATTAAAATTGAGAATGTCTATAAATGACAATGAAAGTAACACCTTAAAACTTTAGTAGTAGGCTTTATGCAACGGAAAAGGTAACCTCATTTGAGAGTGATTGAATTCTTGGCCAAGAGAAGAGGAATGTGTAATTTGGACTCAAACCCAGAAGAGAAGATTTATCTATTAAAGAAAAAAAAATTTCATCAAAATCGGATGAAAACTATGGAAACGCATAAATAACATTCAATCACACACACACATTTTAAGAATTATACATATAGATAATATTATTGTAATAATTTAAAGTATTTATTTTTATTAAAGTTTTTATGAAAGATATATATCCAAGAACAGATAGTAAATAGTAAAATGTTGCTGAGAGTTATAATGGACAGGAAGTAGTGGAGAGCCATTGTCACAAACAATTTGGACTCAAAACCGGCACTGAAGAATTATCTATAAAACAAAAAAAAATTCATCGAAATCGGATGAAAACTGTGAAAATGTATAAATATCTGATCACATACATACACACACATTTTGATAATTATAGATATAGAGATAAATTATTATTAATAAATTAATCAGGTACCCTTTTGAAATACTAAAATTCTTCATTATCATTAGCTGGGTCTGATTGACTAATGAGATTTATTAAAGCTAGGATAAAAAAAAAAAAAAAAAAAAAACGAAAAAAAAGAAAAAAGTTATAGCTGAAGGCTGACATTGTTCTCAAAACAAACAAACCATAACCTATAAATTAATTTTACTTGCTTCAATTCAACATGTGACTAACTCAAGAAAGATATATACAAATCTTCTCTTACTTGCAGACAGTTAATTTTAATGTAGTGGATTACAAAAATAATATTGTGTTATAAATTGAGAGAAAAGAAAATCTTACTTCTCAAAACTACATTGTATTTTTAGCATTTAAAACTTTCAAAACTGCAATCATGAAATATTAAATAACTGCTATAAAGCAAATGCTGAATTACTTTTAGTGGAGCTTTCAAAGATTTTATTTTATTTTTTTTACCTGTGTAGAACGTCGAGTTTCTCTGGCCCGTTTTGCCCTGGCTTTTCTTTGCGTTTCTGTTTCTTCATCTCTTTTGGGAGGTTCATATGACCTGGAGAATAATTAATTTTGGTAATCAATAAAAAAGAGTTGATAGCCTATGCAAAGTTTGACATGTTATATGATCAATTTTTATTTAATTATAAAATCCAAGTTTACACAAATAAAACATGACTTAAATCTAATAATTCTTCACATCTAATAAAACAGCTTTTAACTATTGTTCAATTTCTCATATTGCAGAATTATTTCTAAAATCAAATTTGCAGCTGTGTGTGTGTGTGTGTATATATATATATATATATATATATATATATATATATATATATATATAGTGCCTTTCATCTGACAAACATTGAAATGGATAAATTCTGTATTAGTTTTTTGACTTTTTTTTTTTTTATAGCTTTCACAGTTAAATTTCTATTTCCAACATGAACTCAGTCTATACCAGGGTTGATGAGACTGACAAATTATATTTTTGTCTGTCAAAATTAGCTTATTCCTCTTATGATGTGATTGTAGATTTTATTGTGTATTAATTTTTGCTCTGTAATAAATACACTAAACTCTTCTTGTGGATCAGTTTTAATATTTTATTTTAATAGGATCCACTTGGATTATATACCAACAGATTTATTACCTTTACTGTGTGTGTGTGTGTGTGTGTGTGTGTGTGTATTTGGGTAGCAATCCCCCTTTTATGCAAGTTTCATTAAAATCAACTGACAAGGTACTGTGGTTAAGTTTTTTATATAATTTTTCATGTGTTCATATAATTTTCTTTCTTTTCTGGACATAAATTATATAAAAATTGTTAAAATGTTTTATATGTCCAAGCACTTTCAGTTATCCATTATCAAGGATGAATTTTATTTTTACTTTTAATTGAATGTACAGATTGTTTATACATACATAAACACACACACAGTATGTTTATTGTACTCTCATATTAACATAAAACAGTAAATTCACCTGGAATCTAATTATTTAAAACTTAAAAATAAGATCGAAGGGAAGTAAATCAGTGGAGCTTCACTACCTTGATTAATATTTCCTGATGCATTTAGAAACGATTTTTAGGTTTAGCATTTAAAAAAATTTTTTTTTTTTTTTTTTAATTGTGATATGAATATACTGATCATAATGAAATAAAAATATTATCTAAAAGAAACATGCTGTTTGATGGGGGTGACAGTTAAACACTGGGATTGTAAGATTCTTTTACATTTTGTTGACAATGGTTACATATGTTTTCATTACCGACCAACAAATGGATTTGGCAGAGGAAAAATGTTTAGCTATTATATTTACAAGTATCAATTATACTTAAATTAATATTTTTTTTTATTTTTTTAGAATTTTATAGGAAGATGAATATATTCTTTTTGAGATTATAAAAAGTTTTAAAATTACTTGAAAATTCTAATATTAATTTATAATAAATAATAACTATTTTAGTTTTCATGGCTTCTCAAATATTCTCAAGTTCATGTTAACACAGTATATGAAATACGGAAGTATTTTATTTTGGAATGTCTGTATTAAAGTAATATACAACAAAAATCAAGTTTGAGAAATTATTTTCAACACTATTTTTCTCTTTTTAAGGAAAGAAATGAAAAAGATACAGAATGAATGGATCAAATCTAAATAGAGGCTAACATTTTAAATCAAGAACATATTTCTTATCTAAGATTCTCAAAGCTACCAGAAATGTATCTGTTTTTTTTATTCTCTTTCTGCAAAAATAATAATACACTAAAAAAAAAAAAAAAAAAAAAAAATGTTACCGTAAAAAGAAGGAAATTTCTTACAAATGGGAAACTAAAATATAGCATAAAAATTTATAAAAAGATAAAGAGGAAAACAAAATCTGAAGTGTAAACAAGTATTTTTTTTTGTCATTTTCAAGCATTGTGGGTTGTCTACCTTCTAATCTGTGGTGATGAGAGGCTGGCCAAATGCTCTGTAGCTGAAGTACTGGATATGACAGCCGATGGTGCGGATAGTCTTATTACCGAAAATACACTACTTGCAGTGTTAGTAATGGATGATGCAGTAGTTGGATGAGAAGTAGGAGTAGGAGTGATGTCATTATCAGCATCGGCAATCGGAGTCTTTTCGGGGACTGGGAGGCTGACTTTTGTTGTAACTGTAGGCATGGTGGTGCTGGTAGAAGTTGAAATTGTTGCTGCCACTGTGGTTGTAGTATTAGTGGTTGTGGTGGTGGCATCTGTGATGGCAGTGGAAGTAGTGTTGTTGGTCACTGATTTTTGTTTTTCAGCATTTTCAGCTCTATTGATAGAAAGGCACATAAATGTGTTATATATTTTGTTTACTGGGTTTGATTAGAGTCATGGCTGGACAACCTGTAAGGATAAAAGCAGCATAACATGCTTCATGCAGGTTAAAATTGGATAGAACAACCAGGGACTAGAAAGGTTAGAGGCCAAGATTTGAGAAGTAAGTGTGAGAAGAAAAACCCAAAAGGATAAAACTGAAATTAATAGAAAAAGCAAAAAAATTTAAGGAAGAACAAGGTGAAAAAAAAAAAAAAAAAAAAAAAAAAAAAAAATTAGTAAGTGAGACATTACAAACGTTACAGAATTGTTGTCTGTCATGCCACCTACAATAGGGAGAATCTTCTATGCAAAAAATATAAATATTCATACAGATTCTATAGTTAAAATTAACACAGTGAATAAGTAAAATAGTTGCCAAGAAGTTTATACCAACTGATCAAATAAATGAAGCAGTGACTACTTCACATCCATATCAAATAGTTCATCATTACTGCTACTTTTAAAGAATAAAACTTGCTTACAATTTTTTCAACTATTTTGAAAATGTTACTTGAACTGCAAGTTTACAGATGTCAAAATATTGAATATCCAGTAAAAATTTTTGCATCATTTTGAAATCAGTTTTCTATAAAGTTTTTCTTAGTTTTCATAAAAAAAAAAAAAAATGAAACTTTCATAACATTGCTCTTGGTTTCAAATATTTGAAAATAAAGCTATAATGATGAATTTTCCACTACACTTGATAATAGTTATTTGAATTTATTCAAGTTACTGAATAGTTTCAGTATCTACCAACTACACAAGTAGTGTAAATGAATAGTATCAAATGTAAATGTTGAAAATATGGAAATTTTTATAAATCAAAACTGCTAATAAACAAATCAGGTTAGAAAATTTTCATACATCTTTTTGATGAACCTCATTTGTAAAGTTATTTTATAAAACAATACCAACTGTTTCTAGATTATATAAAATATAATCAAATTTTAAGCATGGTATTATAACATTTCAAAAATTGAAAATGCTTGTCAGCTAAGTAACATATGACAATATGATTGTTTTATTTATTGCCTATAATTGTAGCTAAGACGTAGCTTAAGCAAAAAGTATGAGGATGCAAAAAAACAGTTATTTATCTATGAAATGTAGAACAAGGTTTCTGGTACTGGGTATAAAGAAAATTCAAAAGAACCAAAATCATTCATTGGGTTCGTAGTCTGGTACTTTATGGAATAAAACTCAGCAGTTAATCAGTTAGAAATGTAAATAGAAACTTGTTACCCTGATTATGTTTTCCTGGCTTGACTTTCTAGTTTTTATCAACAAAAATCTTCAAGATAAACTATAAAAATACATATTTGCCTTAATTGTGAAATTTAAATTGGGTAACACTGAATAGCAAGAAAAACTATTGTTAGACCAATTTATTTGTGACAAACAATGTAAATGCATTGAAATGTTTATAATTTTACTTTTCACCATTATTATTCCAATTTTTACTACTAGCAGGTTTTTAAAATAATAGTAGTACTGATATGTAAGATTCAACTGACAAACATAGATGAAATTTATAGAGAAAAGATGGATTTTTCAGTGTTTGTAAAGCATTTACAAAAAAGGTTTTATTCTAAAGCAAGCAAGAAACAAAGGAAAGGGAATGCTATCGAACCATGCAAATTACTTCATCAGCTTCTTAAATCAATATCTGATAACCAAATTCATTTGTTTTAAGACTGAAGTGGAGAGGTAAATGGAGTGACTATTTACACGAGTCTACATTTTAAAAACAACAAAAAGTATGCCAAATGATAAAAAGAAATAATTTCTGTCTGAATTATAATAATTTCTCTTTTTAAATCTATGTTGGGCATATCTGCACTGAAAACTATGTGTGTAGTTATGCAAGTTCAAAATAAATTTTATAGTGCTTGAACGAAAATTATCTTTTTTCCCCCCCATTCTTTAGGTTTTCTTTAACTATTATTTACACTACTTACATGCAGACTGTCTACCCCCAAGTAGATTAAATAGGTTATCCAGATTGACATACACCTGATGAAAGCTGGAGGGTATAACAGCTGAAATGTTGTGATAGCAACAAAGATGAATCCAATATTCTGCATGTAAATAGCATAAATAATGATAACTTCACATCACAAAAATTTCAATCTATACATAAATACATAATGTAATATCATTGGACAGAAATTCTGATACATTCAGGTTATTTATGTACAATGATGCAGTGGGCGAAAGTTTCAATACTATGATGGTACTTCCTCAGATGATGGTAGATAACTTCTGATAAAAATGGTTTATTAGGAAATTGAAAAACAAATTGTTATCTCTTTCGGAAGTTAAAGTTGGGGGCATAAGGAATTAAAAATATACTTGTGGGTATGTCTAGATTAACCAACTAAAAAGACAGATCTATGCTAAAATAGAAAAATAAGGTCAAAAGGTTGAAATAGGTGGGTTATTTTTTCATGTCAAGATGAACTGATGCTTGGACATGTCATCCAACGATCTTAGGAAACATATCAGTGAAAAATGTATTATGGATGTAGTCAAGTATGATGTTCCGATTTGTTGATGTAGACAAAGTTATCAGAAACACTTTTTTCTTTTTTTTTAAATTTTTTTTAATATTCAGGAAGCTTCTTAAAGGGGCCAGTAGGTAAAATTAAAAATGTAGAATATCATACTTATTATAAAACCCAGGTTGTGTGTGTGTGTGTGTGTGTGTCTGTACGTTTATATATTGGATCGAATTACCTACATTTTTCAACCGATTTCAACAAAATGTCACAGGACTACGTAAAATTACCTTGCGGTGGTTCTGACAGCGCCAAAAATTGGAAAAACACAAGTGTTTTTCCACAAAATCAATTTGAAAACACGATTAAGAGGCATCACTGTTGTTGTCGAGTTATACTTATTATAAAACCCAGGTTGTGTGTGTGTGTGTGTGTGTGTGTGTGTTCATTTATATATGGGATCGGATTTCCTACATTTTTCAACCGATTTCAACAAAACTTCACTTTTTTTGGCAGGTAGTGTTTTTTATTGTCTTGCATACTTTGTTTTTTTTATTTTTACATTCAGAATACTTTAAAAATTCTATTTACAAGACAATTGTTTATAATAAAATTCTATTCAATCGGTAGACTCATAACGATTGAAAACAATGTTTTGTTTGAGTTTTGACCAATTTGAAAAAATTCGTTAAAAAAAAACTAATTAAGACATGCGTGTCCGTCAACCTTAAACAATAATCTTTGTCAATTTTATTTTTCAGTCTTTATGATGGTCGATACTTGATTTATCTCTTACTGTTACATCCCCGGGCAACGCCGGGCTCTACTGCTAGTCTATATATAAAAATGCAGAATATTTATACTGAATAGATGGTAAAACATGGCAATATTAAAGTTGAATAAATCAAATAAATATTGGGTGCACCATTAAAGGACATTAATTCGTCAAACTAAAACTCATAGAAAAGTAGATAATAATATTGTTAACTTAGTTGACAAAATTAATGAAACTAGTAAAAATATTATTGACAAACTATGCACTAAAGTATCTGATGTAATGAATATGCATACACCTGTGTTCCCCCTCACAGTAATATGATTGGCTGTTGTCAGCCATAAATACAGACTGATGTAGAGGTACAGGTCGACGACTACGCCATTGGATATCCTGTTGCCTACACCTACTGACTGCGACTACAACAAGTACCAGTTCCATTACTGCTAACTGCTAGATTGTTCTACTTGGTTACAGTAGCCTAAACCACTTAACTACTTCAATCAAATACATCCCTTTCCGGGACATATCAGTTGCTGACGAGATTCGAAATGACCACAGAAGTTAAAACAAAAGAAAAAGAAAAAAAAAATATACAGTTGACAACACTTACTAACGAAGAATGTTAGAAAGACTTGTTCGACGCTTACAGAAAGTAAGTAAATTTTTCCCTCATGTTTGTTTTAACGCTTATTGACGAGGAATGTTAGAAAAGAAAAAACTTGTGCTACGCTTACAGAAAGTAAGAAAATGCCCCCCCCCGTTTGGGCTTAGAAAATTTTATTGTCTACTGGAGCAAAATACGTTGGCAGAATGGAACAAATTGCGGAATTAGCTAAAGGGATAAAAAAATGTTTTAATTGTGGGCGTGTAGGCCATAAAAGTTCCCATTGTCGGACAAAACAGAGAAATGTAAAATCAAAGTCTCAAACAAAGCTGAACTTAGTTTTAGTTTTGTCTAAAAAAGAAATTGAGGAGAGTTCAAGAAGAAAATACCTCAATGTAAAAGTAAATGGGCAGACCGTAAAATTATTACTCGGTTCAGGAAGTGATATCTCGGTAATAAACGAGCAAACATGTAAAAAAAATCGGTTACCCGCTGTTGACTAAAACAGACAAAATTGCCAGGGGAGTGTCAGGAAAAATACTTAAATTTACAGGTGAATTAAAATGTAACATTTTGTTCATGGGAAAAATTCACAAATCGAAAGTGTATGTGCTCCCTGGTTCAGTAAACCTCTTTGGTACAGACTGGATCGTATTGTTTAATTTATGGGAATTACTGGTAAATTCTTTCTGTAATGAAGTGAACGTCATAGAGAACTATAAGACGAAGCAAACAGAAAGATTTATTACGGAGTTGAAAAATGAATTTCCTTGCGTCTTTTCAGAAGGACTAGGTCTGTGCACAAAAACAGAAGTCAACTTCGAATTGAAAGAAAATGTTAAACCAATCTTTAAACCAAAGAGAAAAGTACTATTTTCGACACTAGAGACAATAAATGAGGAATTAGAAAGGTTGGAGAAAATTGGCATAATTTCAAAAGTTGATTACTCGGATTGGGCATCTCCAACCATATATATATAACCCCCCCCCCGAGTGTGTGCTGACTTCTCAACAGGCTTAAATGACTGTTTGAAAGAACATGTGTACCCTATACCATCTCCAGAGGATATATT